TTCAATAAAGATAGCCCATTTATGCTACTGGAGCCTCTAAGCCTATCATTTTATTTTTATTATTTTTTAAAAATAGAATTCCCTTAAACTCTCCAACACCCCCCACTGGAGGACTCGAGGAGTGACATCCTTGGTGGGATCATACCATCTACATATATTGAGCAATTTCCCATTTGGTCTTCACTTGTGAGTATACCTCAATCTTTTTTCCATTTTATTCTGTATCATCCAGAGAGCACTATTTTGTGTTTCTATACTTTTTAAATATATATATATATATATATATATATATATATATATACACATATATATATATATATCACCAACTATTCGAATACCAGCCCACTGCTATTGGAAAGGAGAAATACCCTACCACCTCTGGAGATCCCCTTTTTAGGATATCCAAGGACCATCTACATATCCATAGACAGGGATTATACTGTCCAGGCGCACATATCTGGAGCGGAGTATAAACTACAGAAATTTGTAAGTGCAATTCCTTTCCCTTTATTTATCACTTAAGATCCTAACATACTACACTATATCAGTGTCTTCTTCCTTCCCTCCTCCATATGGCTCTGAGCGTGGGAATTCCATTGCTGGAGCCAAAGTCTTTTATTACACGAATAGGCTCCATGGCATAGCTATCTGGGTTAAATGAGTTCATTCAGTAAATCTGAGAATCTACCGAACGCCAGGGCAGAAATACATGAATAGACCTTTCTGCATAGGAAAATAAAGTATTTAAATGCCGGTCCATAGTCAAAAGGCAGCAGGCAGGCAACCAGGCTCCTCCAATGCACAGTGGTGAGATTGGTCTCGTCACATATAGCTATTGTGCTAAGTTAAATTTGGTGGGTTTTTATTATTGATTTACCTGGGGGACCAAGGCACCCCATTTATAAATTGTCTTGGTGGTGGCAGTGTTAAAATAGTAATAGTTATATTAGTATGTTTAAGTGTGGGTGGTGTTAAGGACAAATAGTAAACTTTAACCCTTTTCCCACCACAACAACTACGTCACGCACACTCTTGAAGTAGGGTGCGTTTGTGAAGAAAAGATAAGAAAATATGTCAAGATCAAAAGGGTAACAAACAAAAAAACTATGTGAAAGTTATTGATTTTTTATGGACAGCGATCAAAGCTTACATACTACAGAGTAAATGGGATGGTATTTAGAAACCTTTTACCCGCAGGATATAAAAGACAAATCACAGAGATTTAAATTTTTCATTTATGGTTTGCTTTATGTCTAGGATTTCAATACATTTTTAAAAGTTGAAAAAATACTGCAGGGGATGAATTACAGTTTTAAAGCTAAAACATTGCAAAATCTGGCATGCTGAGATTACAAGTTTAACCCCTTCGCGACCCAGGACGGTTCAGGACCGTCATCGGCATTTTTGCGTTGCCGACCGATGACGGTCCTGAACCGTCCTAACGGTCCTATTTACTTACCTGATCGCCGTCGTTCCCCCGGCGGCGATCAGTGTGGCTCCGGTTGTGGGGAGACTGCCTGCAGCCCAGACAGTCTCCCCACACTGGATTAGGACCCCTGTGGCCATGTGATCGCTTAATACAGCGATCACATGGTCACAATAGGTGTCCATGTGTCTGCCTGCAGGGGGACTGCCTGTGCTGACAGGCAGTCTCCCTGCATGTGTAAAATCATAAAAAAAAATAAAGTTAGTGTTAATAAAAAATAAATAATTATTATATATGTGTATATATGATATATATATGTCTATATATCATATATATATATAATGTCATACTAAGTGTATTTTTATATTAATATGTACTTATATCAATATAAAAATACACTTATAATTAAATTACACACGTATATATATAATATATATAATAACTATATATATTGTATATATTATTATAAAATATAAATAATTAATTTTTTTTAAATAAAAAAAATTAAAAAAAATTATATATCTATATGAAATTTTATTCTAACTGTATTTTAAAATTAATATATATATATATTTATATCAAAATACACTTAGAATGAATTTGTATATATATCTATGTATATATAAATAAAAATAATACGAAATATACATATGTCCATATACAAAATTACATAAATAATTATATAAATATACACGTAGACTTCAAATATATAAATATGCATATATATTTAAATTCTACGTGCGTATTTATGTAATATTTTTACATAATTCAGTAATTTTATTGATTGCAATTTGAGGGACCTGCCTGCCAACCCAGGCCGAAATTCCAGAGAATTTAATTTGCTAGCACTGTATTTTACCCTGTAACGTTCTACGACACCCTAAAACCTGTACATGGGGGGGTATTGTTTTACTCGGGAGACTTCGCTGAACACAAATATTAGTGATTAAAAACAGTAAAGCATATCACAGCGATGATATTGTCAGTGAAAATGACTTTTTTTGCATTTTTCACACACAAACAGCACTTTTACTGATGATATAATAGTTGTGATACGTTTTCCAGTTTTTAAACACAAATATTTGTGTTCAGCGATGTCTCCCGAGTAAGACAGTACCCCCCATGTACAGGTTTTATAGCATTTTTGAAAGTTACAAGGTCAAATATATGGGTCAAATATTTTTACATTGAAAATGGCCAGGTTGGTTACGTTGCCTTTGAGAGCGTATGGTAGCCCAGGAATGAGAATTACTCCCATGATGGCATAACATTTGCAAAAGAAGACAACCCAAGGTATTGCAAATGGGGTATGTCCAGTCTTTTTTAGTAACCACTTGGTCACAAACACTGGCCAAAATTAGCGTTCAATTTAGTTTTTTTACTTTTTTCACACACAAACAAATATGAATGCTTACTTTGGCCAGTGTTTTTGACTAAGTGGCTACTAAAAAAGACTGGACATACCCCATATTGAATACCCTGGGTTGTCTACTTTAAAAAAAATATGTACATGTAGGGTGTTATTTAGAGATTTATGACAGATAATAGTGTTACAATGTCACTATTGATAAATTTTAAAAATGTATGTTTTGAAACCACAATATCCTACTTGTACCTATAGCCCTATAACATGCAAAAAAAAGCACAAAAGCACGTAAACACAGGGTATTTTTAAACTCAGGACAAAATTTTGAATCTATTTAGCAGTTTTTTTCATTCGCTTTTGTAGATGAGTAAAAGATTTTTCAAGTAAAGTAAAAAACATGTATTTTTTTCAATTTTTCATCATATTTTTTTATTTTTTTTAAATTAAAATACATGAGTTTATATAAATAATGGTATGTAAAGAAAGCCCCTTTTGTCCTGAAAAAAACAATATATAATTTGTATGGGAAGAGTAAATGAGAAAGCGGAAAATTACAGCCAAACACAAACACCACAAAAGTGTAAAAATATGCCTGGTCGCAAATGTACAACATCGCAAAAAAGGTCCAGTCCTTAAGGGGTTAATAGTAGTCACAGAATTCCCAATACAAACAGCAATTAGGTGGGAGGAGTATTGCCCCTCCCCCACCCCTTTTTTTTCTTTTATTCCTTATTAGGATCTGTTTATACTGAACTAATAGTTTTGCCTTTTGAATCACATGCACTTCTATTTGCAGTTGGATTTACAAATTTAGGGATAACCCCTGATAAATTTCAAACAAACCAAATAGAGATCCAACTCCCAAAGAGATCCTATAAAGAGTACTAAACTTGATATCATACTCATGACAAGTTACGCTGTATATTAATGAGTTTTAGATTAAAGTTTATATCCCAATTAAACAGAGGATATGTCTTTAACTCCTTAAGGACCAAACTTCTGGAATAAAATGGAATCATGACATGTCACACATGTCATGTGTCCTTAAGGGGTTAAGGAAGCAACTCCTTCTATTGAGACACATTAGATACTAAGTATCTGGGCTTAGACACTTATGATTATATTGGCACACTTGGCGGTCTCCTGAGTAAACAAAAGATTCAACAGCACATGTGGTCCTCAGTTGTGGTATATTCCAAAAAACTAAAGTGGTTACAGTACCAATTCCACTCTTTCACTGGAAACCTAACAACACAAGCTATCTATACCATAAAATAGTTAACTCTTAGTAACTGGCTTTTAGATTTCTATGGTATTGATTAGACCGCAATTAGTGCAAACAGTTTATTCCTCACCACTAGCAACAAGTGGCACAATGTGATACAAATCAACACAACAGTTATAGAGCAAAGCAGTAAAATATATTAGATATACTGGAGGGGTTCAAGATAGCCAGCAACGTGTATTTGATAGACAATATAGCTAAAGCTAATCCTCTTAAACCTTCCCCCTATATGTAGATCACACTGCTTCAATGCAGTCCCCCTAGATTTAGCCTCAAAAGATTCTCACAATCAGCATTCCATTTGTCTCAAAAGTAAAGGGTACATCATAACAATATTAAGAATCAGCATCACCTAACACAGGTTCAGACAGTGCCAAGTTGGGGGGACAAAATTATTTTTAATTTTCCCAAAGCAGCGCAATTGTGCTACCGCAGAGTTTAAATAATTTAAAGGGCTATAAGCAGTGCTCACTTTGAGCGCTGTTCATAGATCTCCTGTCAGTCTAGTTCCACTAATTGTCACCCCAACCGACAGAGGGGACCCACAGGTATTGAAAGATACCTAGGGTCCACTTTTTTTTATTTTTATTTTTTTTATTCAGTAGGCTTGGGGCAGTGAGAGAAATATCACAGCTTAACATAATCACTCAGCCGCGGTATTTAAAGGGCTATGTGCAGTGTTCACTTTGACTTCAACAGGGACATGACTCCTGACAAGTACCCATACCCCGTATAAACACACGAGAATAATATGATTTGGGTGAGGGCAACGGCCACAGCTTTATTGATAATTTCAATAGCCAGCATCTTTACTTTGTCAGCTGTTGGGATGTTTCACCAATAGACAGCTCTATCCAGTATAAAACAAGAGTCCAGAGAAGCCTGCCCCCGGCATCAGCTCTCAGCAGGCTGCGACTCCCCAAGCCGACTTGGCACCTTCCTCCACTTCTAACTGCACTGGCCAGGAATACCGCGAGTTGTGACAAAACAAAAAAACAGCACCCACAACCTCCGAAACAGACAGCCTCACTTGTATCTCTTGGGTGAGCAGGCGGGAAAAGGCTCCCTACACTTCTACACTGGTGAGTTCCCTCCCTCTTCACCCCTTTTTATCACGTCCCTAAGTTGCACCTTCTTCCACTTCTAACTGTCCTGGCCAGGAATACCGCCACGGCAATGACTTCCTAATTGCCTCAGCTGGTCGGCATTGCGCCCCCCACAGACAGCACAGCCTCAATAGCGGCTTGAAGACCTGTATTGAAGATATTCAACCCAATCAAAGTCAGATATACTCCATCTACACAAGAGATTAGAATGATCCCATTCTAATTCCATGTGCTGAACCACAAAACTCCCAAGATGGCGCACAAATGTACCTATCGTTACATTAAGCTTGTGCCAACTATGCTCAATACCCCGTGCACACGGCAATGCACGCCACCAATGTCTGGGGACTATTTCAGACCAAATTAAAGTTAAATCCTGAAATAAAGCAAAGCAGCGGGCCAAATCATGTCTAATCACATGGATAAGATCCACAGACCTAATGCAGCCTAAGTCGTTCCCACCCACATGAATTATCAAAGTGACCGGGCCTGACACAAACCTACATAATGCCACACACTCCAGGTAAATTTGCTGCCATAGAAGGGCCCTAATGCCTCTCCATCTAACCCTGGCTACCTTGTATGGGAAACCCAAATTACTTCCATAAGTGCACTCCTCTGCTCGCCACGCAGCCCAGTAAATGAATGAGTTCCCCAAAATCCAGATGTAGCGAGCACCTGGACCTACGAGGAAACACACGTTACAACAAGTTAGGCCTGACATATGGCTGGTAACGACTAGAGCCCCACCTACCCAGAGGCCTAATTGCTGCAGCTGAGTAACCTGGCCTTGGGAGCCGCCCAATACGGAAGGAATGAGCTGAGTATTCCCGAGCATCCACACCACACGCCAACAATGCACTACGAAACATTGCAGTGAACTGGAACAAACAGGCATATCTCACCCCCTGGCCTATGACTCAAGTAGCAAGAAAACAATCGGGCTAAGCAAAACGCCACACCCGTTGATTCTATGCGCACCCACGCGCCACTACCTTCCCGATCAGTCTTAGAGCGGTGAATACAGACACCGACCACCGCCTCCGACCAGCGGACGTCTGATACCAACAGCGACGAGACCAACCCCCGATTACGCGAAACGGCCTGAAAACACAAAAGGAAAACAACACAAAAAACGAAATAATAATGTCTCATATCCCGAATAGCAGACTACCTCCAGAGCCAGAGCCGCCATCAGGGGGTGACAACCACACACTTAGGGCCACCCGATGGGCCCTATATCTTCAGGGGCCCGGTCAGCGTTGTAGCTGTGGTATAGCGCGACCGGGCCCCTTAAAAAAAAAAAAAAAAGCAGCAAGTGCTGCTGGGAGGAAATAGTCACTTCCTCCCAGCTCACGCCGCGCGGCAGGAGCGCGCGCGCCGGTGAAGAGGGAGAGCCAAGCAGTGAAGAGGGAGCCGCGCCGACTTCCATCATCCCCAGCCACCCTGCTGCAAAGAAAAGGTAAGAGACAGGAGGGTGGCTGGAAAATGAGCTGTGTGTGTGTGTGTGTGTATGCATGTCTGTCTGTATGTATGTATGTCTATCTGTCTGCATGCATGTCTGTCTGCATGTATGTGTATGTCTGCATGTATGTGTATGTCTGTATGTATATGTATCTGTCTGTATGTATGTCTGTATATGTATCTGTCTGTATGTATGTCTGTATATGTATCTGTCTGTATGTATGTCTGTCTGCATGTCTATCTGTGTATGTATGTCTATCTGTCTGTATATGTATGTCTGTCTGTATGTGCATGTATGTATGTATGTCTGCATGCATGCATGTCTGCATGCATGCATGCCTATGTATGTATGTCTGTCTGTTTGTGTATGTCAGTCTGTCTATGTATGCATGTCTGTGTTTTTCTGTCTGACTGTATGCATGTATGTCTATGTATGTATATATGTCTGTATGTCAGTATGAATGTATGTCTGCATATCATTATGAACGTATGTATGTGTGTATGGATATCTGTATGCATGTATGTCCGTCAGTATGTCTGTATGCCATTATAAATGTATGTCTGTGTATGTCCGTATGCCATTATGAATGTACGCGTGTATAGATGTCAGTGTCTGTATGTCTGTCAGTATGTATGAATGTATGTATGTATCTTTATGTCCTCATGCATGTGTGTCTGTATGTATGTATGTATGTTAGTATGTGTCTGTATGTATGTATGTTAGTATGTGTCTGTCTGTCACTATCTATGCCTGTGTGTATCAGTATGTATGCGTGTATGTCTGTTTCAGTATGTGTGTATGTTAGTATGTATCTGTGTCCTTTTGTATCAGTGTGTGTGTTTGGGTCTGTTTGTGTATTCCTTTGGGCGGTATTTGGAGGCGTACCCAGTGGGTGGTATTTGGAGGCGGGCCCCAGGGCGCCCAGACCCTGAGCTGAGTTAGGGGCCCCAAAATTTCTGGTGGCGGCCCTGTCCAGAGCCGACAACATATGCCACAACAGCTCTACTGAAACAGGGTGGAGGCGTTCCGTGCCCCTCCTACCTCGAGTAACCTGTTGAATATCAAACTACCTAGAGACATCCCGCCAGCCAATAAGCTTACACAAAAAGTAAAACATGACCAGGGCTTTTTCAGCTGATGAACAGGACTTACCCTGCAGGAGTAAATCCTCCAATAATGTCAAAGTCGCCACCAACCACCCAGACTCTGTCGACACACCCCGATCACGGGAGACCAATGACAGCCAGTGCCAACACTGCCAATCTGCTACCAGGCCCCCCAATCCTCCAAATCGATCCCCCATAAGGATTCTGGGCATCTCCGACAAACCGGATCCGCTACTGATGCTGACTCCGAAAAACGGTCCCACTGAAACCGAGAAAGATAGTCAGCCACTACGTTTAACACAGCCAGGACATGACATGCTTTAAGACAAAGGTTAAACTTCAAACTTAGCAGAACCAACCGGTGCAGCAGTGGCAAGACTGGAGGAGAGCCCGAGGAGGATCGATTGATCACATGGACAGCACTCATTTTGTCCGTGTGAAAAACCACCGTTTGATTTCAAAGAGCATCGCCCTATAGTTCCAACGACACCACGAAGGGAAACAACTCCAAAACAGTCAAATTCTTGATCAGATTTAAGCCCTGCCATCTCACAGGCCACCCCTTCCCACACCACTGACCCTGAAAATATGCTCCAGAGTTCACCTCCCACAGTCAGCAGGAGTGTCCATTGTAGAGCTCCAGGAAGGTACTCCAGACCTGAAGGTCAGCCCGCAAGCGAGGAGTAACCCAAATGTAATGAAAAGGTTCCCAGACACCCACCGTCTCCAAGGACAGCCGCCTACAAAACGCCCAATCCATGGAAAGAACTCAACACGCAAAGGCCAAGTGATCCAAAAGAACCTGCATTTGAAGCAATTGGACCTTCTAAGCTCCTTTTACTAAGTCTACCAGATGTAACAAAAAATGCCAGTTTGTCAGCCGGCAAGCGAAAAACCATTTCAATACCCAAAAAGGACACCATTTTGTACTCCAAGGAACCCGGCGAACCAAAATACAAAAAAATTTCAAGATAATGGGTGACAAGAGATGACAAGCCAGACGACTGAACAGTGACCCATTCCAAAAAAACAAGAAAACATCTCAAAGTGATAGCAATAAAATAGCACATACATGTCATAGTAGAAATGACCCTGGAAAAACAGCCCAACAAGTGAAAGAAGGCGGGGTGGACCAGCAACAAATGGAAAGCAGATTCAATGTCAGATTTAGCTAGCAGCGACCCAGCCCCGGCCTGCCGAACCAACCCTGTCAAACGATGCGTAGCTAACCCGACACACCTCTTTATCAATGTGGTCATTAACCAAACTGCCTGATGGATAGGATAGATGCTAGATCAACCAAAACGACCCGCCTACTTCTTTGGAACCAGGCCCAGGTGAGAAAAACACAAATTAGAAAATGGGGGAAAATCAAAAGGACCCGCACTGCGACCACGCTGAACCTCTTTACCCATAGTAGAACAGAGTTTTGTCATCGAATTGAAGCAAGGGGGACACCACAAAGGGGATCCAAAACCCCAAAGTAAAACCATTAAACAAGTCCTGGGCTGCATGACGTCTAGGCTACCGGGAGAGCCACGGGCGCATCCTTACCTCGTCCACCAGCGTCTTCTCCACTAGGTATGTCCTCTCGAACCGAACCCTTTTGCGGAAGATGGCTTGCCCTTTCTGAAGCAGCGCAATGCCGGATGCGCTCCTCCACAATGGGCACATTCGTGCCAAAACCTACACTGACTCATTAAAAAGCCAACATACGCCTTTTTTATGCCCTGACTTTGTGCTGGGGAAAGGGACCCGAAATCCATTCCGGGGCATGCTGCCATCTTTTGGCAAAACTGCTGGTCATAGAGAAACCAGAAGCACCCTATATCAAATCTAAGTACCCTAACAGCGCTGCCGCAGCTGGAAACCGACACACTAGGATACTCCTCCAGGAAAGCTACTTGTAAAGTCTTACTAGGATCATTACCTCTATTTACTCTGGGGATTGATCTGTGGCTTGATTGGTATCGATCTACCTTGAGACCACAGCCAAGAGCATCTGCCTGCAGTCATCTGTACGCGCTGAACCGCTACTCCTGGCATTTGACCGCATTTGCAAGGAATTCTGGGCAAAGTATAATGCTTCCACCCCTTCGGACAGAGTCATACCTCTCCGTGGTCATCACTCAACACAGCACAACCGAGCCTGTACTATGCGTCCCCAGAGGGACGTTGCGGAGATGATGTCCCAAGCAGCCATCACGGCGGATGATAATTCCCAGACGATATGACCTCCACAACTCACCCAGACAATGCTGCCAGCCTTATCCGGAGGCCTCCAACTCATGCAGCTGGCACAGCAAGACCAACAGGCTGCGTCAGCGAGCCCTGTTTAACCTTCTAAGGGAAAGCCAGCTGGATTGTCTGACAGCTTGGGCACGGTGGAATACCTTGATATGGCAGAAGCTGGGACTCCCCTCCCCAACCATTGGTATTGGATGAGTGATCCACAGTTCTAACCTGCAGCCCAGTTGCTTTCTTTGTTAGTTATGTGCACACTGTTTGAAATGACCTAAATATTCTACTCAATTATGGTTGAATACTTCATATTCTGCAACTGTTAAAATTACACAGCTTGAGCTTCCCTACA